GAGGATGGAGGGAATCCATGTGATCTCCCTGGGTAATAAAGGCCCCTGAGCCAAGTAATTCCTGTAAAATTTTGGTTCTGGTGATTGATGATTGATTCACAGATATTTCACTGCAGTCTGCCATGTGCACAGACTCCGCATGGTGACCTGGAGACTTCTCCCCGACTCTGTTCTCACTCCGCTGCCGTCCTCTTGCCGAGCTGATCCATGCCATGCTTGCTCTCTTCTCAGCCGTGTTCATCTGTGGCTAGAAACTCCTGCCAGTCAGTGGGAGGCACTTGCTGAGACTCAGTGCAGGAAACAGGTGACGATGGAGTGCATGCCTAGAAATGGTATGTCCGTATGTCGGTATTACAGCTCCTTGCTGCGAGGCTCAGGGAATAGCAAGGAGAGAGACTGGGAGGAATAGTGTGTCTTCTGGACATGGCAGAGCTGTGGCACTGAGGAGCTCCTGGCAGCTGTGGTCGCCTGCTCCAGGTCTGCACAGCTGGAACCAACATGGATGGGGGGGCGTGGCCCACAAGTCCCCACCCCTCCCTGAGGAGCTCTGTACAGCGGATGGCTGCCAGGGGAGGAGGACTCCACTCTCTTTCAGGTGTAGCCTCTGGTAGGTTAGCCAGGCCCTGCATTCATGCCGATAGGAGCAGCACTAACTATATTCAGTGGGTGTTAAATAAAAAAGAGGACACCGAGTTTGGAAGGAGACATGGGAGGGATCTGAGAGGAGCTGGAGGGAGAGCAGAGGGGTGAATGTGACTGAAAATCACCATATCCATATATAAAGTTCTCAAAAATAAAGTTTTTAAAAATAAGTCCTGTTGAGTCAGCTAACAAAAGACCACCTGCCTGGCTTCAGCCACATTATATAACTGATACAGCGTCACGCGGCCAAATTTCTACTTGAAAGGTTATACTTCAGTGAAAATCTTTTCCAAAAGACAAATCTTGCTCTGAATGGGGCTGTGTCACTTAACAGTGTTTCAAACTATTCTAGGGTCACTTAGAACTCACGGGAACTTAGGGGCCCATGTAAATAATACACACTATCAAAATCCAATGACGTTTTCCAGTGGAAAAAAATGAAATCTTAAAATTCACATGGAATCACAAAAGGCCCCAAACAGCTGAAGGAATCTTAACCAGAATGAACAATGCTGGAGGCAGGGCACCACAGGTCCTGAAAGGTACTACAGAGCTATAGTAATCAAAACGGCACAAAACCAGACTCACAGACCGACAGGATGGAAGAGGGCCCTGAAATCAATCCCTCATTTATGGCTTTTTATAAATAAAGGCGCCGAGAATATCCAATGGGAAGATGCCAGTTTTCTTAATAAATGGTGTTGGGATAATTGGATATCGATAAGCAGATGAAAGAAATTAGGTTCTCATCTCACACAGTATATAAAAATCAACTCCAATGGATTAAACTTGAGTGTAAAACAACCAGAACAAAGCACAGAGGAAAACCTTTCTGATGCTGATCTGGGAAACGAGGATTTGAGGAACTCAAAAACTCAGACAAACCGGATTACTCTAAACTAGAATCCTTCTGGACAACTAAGGAAGGCACGGCTAAGGAAGGACAGACAACCCATGGGACAGGATGAAATAGGTGTGATGCACACATCTGAGAAAAGGTTCATGTTCTCAACACAAGCAGCTCAAACAACTCCACAGTAAGAACAAAAGGGAGCTACAAAATATGCAAAGACCTAAGCAGACATTTCTCAAAAGAAGACTTGAGAACTGGCTGGAGAGATGACTCAGCAGTTTGGAGTGCTCTTTGTACTTCCGGAGGACCCCAGTTTGGCTCCTGCACCCACACCAAGCAGCTTGCAACCGCCTGTAATTCCAGCTTCAGGGAGTCCAACACCCTCTTAAGGCACTGAACTTATGTACATAACCACCACCCCCAACACACACACACACACACACACACACACACACACACACACACACACACGCATAAAAATAAAAATATTTACTAAAGAAGACCTACAAAATATTCAACAAGTTTTTTTTTTTTTTAAAGAAAAAAAAAGCATGCAATATCATTGTCAGGGAAATAGGAATCCAACCTCACGGGATATTATCTCAGTCTTGTTAGAATCTGTATTATCCAAAAAAGCAGAGGTGTCAGAGGACAAAGACAAACAGGGAACACTGGAGACTGTTTTTTCAAAATGCACATTAGTACAGTCATGTAAGAAATAATATGGCAGTCCCTCAAAAAGATTAATAGTAGAACTACTGTGTGATCAAGCTATCCAACTGCTGAGTTTACAGAAAAGGATGTAAAATTAACATGTCAAAAAGGTAACTTCACCTTCATGGTCACTGCAGCATGCTCTACAGTGACCAGGACATGAATCAGAGTGTTTTCGTCTGCAGATGAATGAAGGAGAATGTACCGTGTATGTGCATGATGAGACATCATCCAGCTTTTTAAAATATGGAAATTCACAACAGTACAGAAGAAGCCTGAGGAAGAATAAGCCAGGCACAGAGAGACAAGAGCCGGGTCATCTCAAAAATCAAAGATTCAGCCCATAGAGGTAGTGTTGAGAAATGTCGTTATTGGTGGCTGGGAGGTAGGAGACTTAAGGAAGGCTGGTCGAAAAATACAAAATTCCATTTAAACAGCAGAATGTGATAAAGAGATATGATACACCATGGAGTCACTATAGTCAGAAATAGTGTGCTAACTACTCACAGAGAGCAAAAATATTTTCATATAAGAATGATTAAGTGTGTGAATTAATATACAGGTGCATGACTTGATTTGGCCATTATAAAACAGGTACATACTTCAAAGCATGCTGTATATGACACACATATATAATTTCTATTCAGTAATACTAGGTGAAGAAATCAATAATATGTCAACCTAGGAAACGTATGAACAAAACACAAACTTTTTCTAGAAGGCTCATCGTTTTCAAACAACCCAAGCTTACCAGAATTTTAACTGGCTTCACGACTTTCCGAGTAATGACACCAGGGGCTCTCAGGCGGATGGCTTCCAGAACACACCACTTAATGAAAAGGAGCTTCTTCAAGTCTCCGTCCGACACTTTCATCTTATCTTTACCTGTAAAGAGAATTGTTTAAAGATTAAAGAAGAGATGCACTAGAGAGACCAGAAAGTGATTTCGAGCAGGCTCGTCCACGCAGGACAAGCTCACCAACAAGGAAAGTGCGGCTGGGTGTACCGATTTTGTTTCCTCTCTGTGCCAGGATGGACAGGCACCCAGCCTCACCTCTAACAGTCCTGTGGCTACAGAACAGCTAAGATGGCCTCTGTCCGGAAAGGGTTCAGTTTTTCCTCATCTCATCCTTCCTTGTCAAAATCCCCATCACACTCAAAGAAATAGCAGTAAAAGACTGGCAGAAGAAGGCCAGAAAAGTAAATGTTTCCAAAAAAGTGCTGGGCATCCTTATCCACTGGGGGATGCAAATCGACATTGCCCTAAGGGGCTGGAAGATGGATCATTTGGTAAAGATTTGCCATGCAAGCATGGGGACCCGGGTTTGGATCTACGGCACCTGGGGAAAAAGCTAGGGTGGGGCTGAATGTCAGCATTCGGAGGGTCCCTGGCGCTTGCAGTCCACCCAGCCTAGCAGAATCAGTGAGCTCCAGGTTCACTGAAATACCCTGTCTTGAAAAGTGAGGTAGAAAAGCAATTGTAGAAGACATCCACCATCGACCTCTGGCTTCCAAGCAGATGTAAAAAATGTTCCTGGGATTCTGGTGCCCTCTTTTGGTCTCCATAGGCACTGCATGCACACAGTGCATATATACATGTAGGTAAAAGCATACCTACATACACTAAAAATATTTTTTTTTAAGTTCTGGAGATCGTTACATTATAAAATAAACCCAATTGTGAAAGATAAGTATCATCTTGCTCTCATATGCACTTATATATTCATACACACACACACACACACACACACACACACACACACACTCAAAAACTACTTTAGGATTACATTTTATTCCAGTAAGAATGACTACCATCAGACAAACAAATGAAAACAAGTCCTGGCATGTATGCAGAGTAGGCAGAGCCTGTCTACCCTGCTGGGGGGGAGAGTAAACTGGTGCAGCCTCTACAGAGATCAGTATGGACTGTCCTCATGAAACTAAAACAGGAACCACACATGATACAGCTATATGACTCCTGGGCATGTTCCCAAAGAACTCTAAGCCAGCACACCTCAGAGACACTTGCACACCCATGTTTATTGTTGCTCTGTTCACCATAGTCAAGATACAGAAACAACCCAGACATCCATGAACAGAGAGATGGATAAAGAAAATGTGCTACATATACATGATGGAATTTTATTCAGGTATGAAGAGAAATGACATGGGATTCACTGGAAAATGGATACAACCAGAGATCACTAGGGCTGGAGAGATGGCTCAGCAGTTAAGAGTAGTTGTTGCTCCTGAAGAGGACTGGATTTGGTTCCCAGAACTTACAACCACCCATGACCTCAGTTCCAGGCAGATCTAACATACTCTTGTGGCACCAGGCAAGCATATGGTGCACATACATGCACAAAGGCAAACACACATACACATAAAATAAAAATAAATGTCTTTTTTTAAGTGCCGAGATCATTATTTGATGCAAAGTAAGCCAGACCTGGAAAGAAATATATGGCTTGTTTTCTCTCATGTGCAGAATCTATATTGAAATGTATGCATTACACATATATATGATAGGACAGTAGAAAGGAGCCAGGAGAGGGAAGAAAGGTCTGGGGAGAAGAAGAGAGGGCAACGGGGTGTGTATTTATGGGAGGAGTCAGTAACAGGAGAGATCAGATGGGTGAGGACATCAAGAGGTGAATAAGAACAAAATACATTGAGAAATTTGTGTATGAAAGCATCACAATGAAACTCATTTTTTGTATAACCAAAAAATTAATTTTAAAAGGCACACACACACACATAGATACACACACATACACAGACAACACACAGACACACACAGATACACAAACACACACAGACAGACAAACACAGACACACACACAGACACAGACACAGACACACAGAAGCACACACATAGACACACACAGATACACAAACACACACAGACACAGACAAATACAGACACACACACAGATACACAGAAACACACACAGACACAGACACACATAGAAACACTCAAAGATACACACAGACACACACACACACACAGACACACAGACACACACACAGAGATATGAAAAGTAACCTGGCCTTCCTTCCCAATGATTATTGTTTGTTTTTGTTGTTTTGGTTTTTGTTTGGTAACTGGAAACCAGGTCTGGCCTTGAACTCAAGATCCTCCAGCCTCATCCTTCTGATACTTTGATTGAAGGCATGCACCACCATGCCCAGCTCTTTTACTTTTCTGTTTAATCATTGATTACAGATGATGCAAAGATAGGGACAGTGGGGTGTGGGGGTGACCTCTCTGGAATGAAGAGCATGCTTTCTCAACACAGACACACCAGACTTCCCTAAGTTGAACAGATGATGATACTAGACTAGGTCCAGTCTTTACAAAAGGAATAGACTGGGTCAATCTTCACACGGCTGTAAGTGTGGTCGTGGGATTTCAGTCAGGTTATACAATTTAATGGTGAATAATTCAAGGAAAATGCATTCTGAAAATTCCCCAGAATAGCACTGCTTTCAGTCTGGTCCTGACATCACTGACTTAGTAAGTCACCATGACCAATCCATCCAAGTGGATCCCTGTGGCCCCTTCCCTCTCTGTCTCACGGCACCAGAGACAATGTGAGCCAGTCGACCATGGACGAATCCTAAGGAACCCTGAGCCAAAAGAAGCCTTTACTCCTTGATCTCCTTTATCTGTACTAGCCACAAAAGCTGACTTAAAACATCAGTGGGTCAGAATACGTGGCGTGGGCCTTTAATCACATTGCCCAGGAAAGAGAGGAGGTGGACCTCTGAGTTCGAGGTCAACCTGGTCTACATATTAATATTAAGTTCCAGGCCAGGTGGGGCTACATAGGGAGACACAAAGTTAAAAAATCAAAATAAGTAAAATAAAGATAATAAAGCAAAAAATAAAATCAGTTGTCATCAGCGATTATAAGATTATAGAAGACTCCTTTCCCTCAGACTTGTCAGGTGCCGAGAGTATGTGGCTGTCTGTGTGTCTCTGTATATGTGTGTCTGTGTGTATTTGTGTCTCTGTATATGTGTGTCTGTGTGTATTCGTGTCTCTGTATATGTGTGTCTGTGTGTCTTTGTGTGTCTCTGTATATATGTGTCTGTGTGTATTCATGTCTCTGTATATGTGTGTCTGTGTGTCTTTGTGTGTGCACTTGTCTGTGTGTCTCTGTACATGTGTGTCTGTGTGTCTTTGTGTGTCTCTGTATATATGTGTCTGTGTGTCTTTGTGTGTGCATTTGTCTATGTGTCTCTGTACATGTGTGTCTGTGTGCCTTTGTGTGTGCATTTGTCTGTGTGTCTCTGTATACGCGTGTCTGTGTGTGTGTGTGTGTGGACATGCACTCACCTGCGTGTCTGTGTACACACATGTGGCAGCCAGAGGCTGACACTGGGCATCTTTCTCTCCTGTTCTCCACCGTATTTTTTGAGTCTGTCACTAAACCTGGAGCTTAGCATTTTAACCAGGCTGGCTGGCCAGAGGGTCCTCTGGATCCATCTCTCTCCACGGCAACCCCAGCACTGGAGTTACAGCCGGGCATGTGTGTTCATGCCTGGCTTTTCATGTGGGTGCTGGGATCACCGTAATTGTGTACTGGGCGCTTTACCCACTGCGCCTGCTCCCCAGTCCTATTACATCTCGATTACTTCCCTAAGCCCCTGCTGGTCCCCACCCACCGGGCTCTGCTACAGAGTCTAACAGGCTTATCAGAGCACAGTGACCAACAGGAGCCCTCACCTTCCTCCACGACAATAAACAGACACTCCTGACCATGTTGTCTGGCCATGACCGAAAGTGGTTGGAATCTGCCAAGTTGCTAGAACTCCCACAAATCTGTCATCCCTGCTGCTTCTGACGGACACTGTGAGGGAATATGGAATATACACTTGGTTCTTCGGCTCCTCAAACTGTGATGGACGACTGACAATGGAGAGGGAGTGTCTTCTACCCATACCTGGACTCACCCTAGTGAGGTGATGCTGGGAGTATGGGGAAAAGTCATCCAAGAAATCAACCATGTGATCAGAAGCCTGGAACCCTTAGCCCTCAACACACACTTCAATTTCCTGAAGGAGCTTAACTTCGTGACTGAATCAACCATGTCTGTGAAGGGCCACTTCCCCAAAATCTCTTTTCAAACATACCCATGTGCTGGGAGGGTCACACACATCAGCTCCAAGGGGCAAGACACTCCCAGATGTTTCCCCTCTATCTGGCCACTCCCCTGCATCAGTGACAACAGGCTTCATCATAAATAGGTAATGGTAAGCAAAGCGTTTCTCTGATCTCTGTGTTATTAGGACAAATCACTGAACCTTGAGGAAGGCTGTGGAAACTCCCAGTTTGCAGCTAAGATGGACAGTTTGAGGGGTGTGGGACCTACTACTTTCTATGGTTATTTAAAGCAGGGGCAGTACTGTGGTGCTGAGCCCTGAACTTTCAGGGTCTGCACTAAGTCCACGGAGCTAGTACAGGAACTGAATTAAGTTCTACAGCACCCAGTTGGTGTCTGAAGAGAAGTAGAAAGTCGTGGTGTAGAAAGATAATGCCACTCTTTTCCCTTTGGCAAATACCGTCTACATATCCTTCTTATTATACCTCATGTGGAATCTTGGAGACAATGTGACCTTTGTACATTACCCAACCTGCTGATCTGGCTCAGTTGGAGTACCTAATATAGGAATGCTGACTGTATCTGCCTCATAGAATATTGTCAGGGCTGTAAATGTATGTAACTCTCTCAAAATTATAACTGCCAAGGGCCAAGAACTCAGCAAGTGTTATGTGTTATTACGATTCCCTCTGGCCTTTGCAACTGTTTGGGAGGCTGGCTCCCACTCACTCTTAAGGCCACCGGTGAAACATCCTGAGAAAGACAACTACCCCGGTT